TTCCAACTTTTCCAATTCTCTTACCATCCTTGACCTTTCTTCTAATATGCTCACATCCTCAACATTTCAATTATTGTCTAACTTTAGCCTTAATCTTCAAGAGCTTTATCTTTCTCATAATAACATTGTTTTCTCATCTCCAGTCCACTCAACCTTTCCTTCTCTCGTGATCCTTGACCTTTCCTATAATAAGATGTCATCATCGGTCTTTCAATGTATCTTCAACTTCAGTTCAAAACTTCAAAATCTTTATTTGCAAAATTGTAGTCTTGGGGATGATAGTTTTCTCATGTCAGCTATTTCAATTACGAATTCTTCGTCTTCTCTTGTCTCGCTTGATCTCTCCTTTAATCTATTGAAATCATCATCCATATTTTACTGGCTCTTCAACTCCACTACCAATCTTCGTACACTTGAACTTAATGACAACATGTTGGAAGGTCCCATTCCAGATGGATTTGGGAAAGAAATGAACTCTCTTGAAGAGCTTTATCTTTCACATAATAACATTGTTTTGTCATCTCCAGTCCACTCAACCTTTCCTTCTCTTGTGATCCTTGACCTTTCCTATAATAAGATGTCATCATCGATCTTTCAATGTATCTTCAACTTCAGTTCAAAACTTCAAAATCTTTATTTGCAAAATTGTAGTCTTGGGGATGATAGTTTTCTCATGTCAGCTATTTCAATTACGAATTCTTCGTCTTCTCTTGTCTCGCTTGATCTCTCCTTTAATCTATTGAAATCATCATCCATATTTTACTGGCTCTTCAACTCCACTACCAATCTTCGTACACTTGAACTTAATGACAACATGTTGGAAGGTCCCATTCCAGATGGATTTGGGAAAGAAATGAACTCTCTTGAAGAGCTTTATCTTTCACATAATAACATTGTTTTGTCATCTCCAGTCCACTCAACCTTTCCTTCTCTTGTGATCCTTGACCTTTCCTATAATAAGATGTCATCATCGATCTTTCAATGTATCTTCAACTTCAGTTCAAAACTTCAAAATCTTTATTTGCAAAATTGTAGTCTTGGGGATGATAGTTTTCTCATGTCAGCTATTTCAATTACGAATTCTTCGTCTTCTCTTGTCTCGCTTGATCTCTCCTTTAATCTATTGAAATCATCATCCATATTTTACTGGCTCTTCAACTCCACTACCAATCTTCGTACACTTGAACTTAATGACAACATGTTGGAAGGTCCCATTCCAGATGGATTTGGGAAAGAAATGAACTCTCTTGAAGTTCTTAGCCTCTTTCGGAACAAACTGCAAGGCGAGATTCCATCTTTCTTTGGGAACATGTGCACATTGCAGAGTTTAGACCTCTCAAACAACAAGTTGAGTGGGCAAATTTCTAGCTTCTTTCTAAATTCTTCATGGTGCAACAGACACGTGTTTCGGAGACTACTTTTATCTGGTAACAACATTACAGGAAGGTTACCTAAAAGCATTGGATTGTTATCTGAGTTGATTGAACTTATGTTGGCGGTAAATTACTTAGAGGGTGATGTTACTGAGTCGCATCTTTCCAATTTTTCCAAATTATCATTCTTACAATTATCAGATAACTCATTGTCACTAAAAATTGGTCCTACTTGGTTTCCTCCTTTCCAATTATTGTTCTTGGCATTAAGATCTTGTAATCTGGGCCCAACATTTCCTAATTGGCTTCAGACTCAAACTTCCATAATATTTCTAGATATTTCTAATAGCAACCTTAATGATTCCGTTCCAGACTGGTTTTGGAACAACTTGCAAAATATGGGAAAGTTAAATATGTCTTACAATAATCTCATTGGTACAATTCCCAACATATCATTGAAGCTTCTTTGTAGACCGTTCATATTTCTGCATTCAAATCAATTTGAAGGCAAAATTCCACCCTTTTTACTGCAAGCTTCAAAGCTCAAGCTCTCCAAAAATAAATTTTCAAATTTGTTTTCATTCTTATGTGATCAAAGCATATCTGCAAATTTGTTATCTTTAGATTTATCAAACAATCAAATGAAGGGACAACTGCCAAACTGTTGGAAATATGTTGATAGGTTATTGTTTCTTGATTTAAGCAACAATAAATTGTCAGGGAAGATTCATGTCTCCATGGGCAGCCTTGTTAACTTGGAAGTCTTGGTTTTACGAAACAATAACCTAATGGGTGAATTACCTTCCACTTTGAAGAACTGCAGCAATTTAATTATGGTGGATGTGAGTGAAAATATATTGTCTGGTCCAATACCATCATGGATTGGAGAAAGTATGCAACAATTGATAATCTTGAACATGCGAGGGAATCACTTCAGTGGACATCTTCCAGTTAATCTTTGTTATTTGAAGCGTATTCAATCATTGGATCTTTCAAGGAATAACTTATCGAGAGGTATTCCAACATGCTTAAAGAATTTGACTGTAATGTCTGAAAAGATCATCAACAGAGGTGCAACTCTAAATCAGATATATTGGTCTGTCAATCTTACTTCCCATGAACCTTATGCTCCTTTTTTATCCAGTTCTGATAATTATACACTTAACATAACATGGATTTGGAAAGGTATGGAACTGTGGTTTTCGAATCCAGAGTTACAACTTAAGAGCATTGATCTTTCAAGTAATAATTTAACAGGAGAAATACCAAAAGAGATTGGATATTTGATTGGATTAGTTTCTCTGAATTTATCCAGAAATCATCTGAGCGGAGAAATTCCTTCAGAGATAGGAAATTTAAGTTCACTAGAGTCCCTTGACTTATCAAGAAATCATATCAGTGGGGCAATTCCTTTTTCTCTTTCTCAAATTGATAATCTAGGCAAATTGGACTTATCACACAACTCTCTTTCAGGAAAGATCCCACGAGGAAGACATTTTGGAACCTTTGAAGGCTCTAGTTTTGAAGGAAACGTAGATCTTTGTGGTGAACAACTCAACAAAAGTTGTCCTAGAGATGGAGATCAAACGACAGTAAAGTTCCCAGAAGTTGAAGCAATCAATGGCGATGAAGACAGTGTTTTTTACGAAGCATTATACATGAGCATGGGGATAGGATTCTTTACTGGATTTTGGGGCTTATTAGGGCCAATACTACTTTGGCATCCTTGGAGAAATAACTACATAAGATTTATGAACAGACTGATAAATTATATATACGAACGGTTATAGGTAATGGAACAAAGTAGTCCTCGTAGCTCAAAGACAAGAAGGTATGTTGTAGCTTTCTTATGATATCCTTATTTTAATTATTAATTACTGAATTAAATTCTTGAAAAAAAAAATTCTCTTAGAATTGGTAAAGCGAGATATAATTCTCAAATCACAATACTTCTTTTCCTTACACTTATTTTTTATGTACCCATATGAGCGGTCTTTTTCAGTTCATATGTTCGTTTCTGGATCTCTCAACCTTTTTCTATGGTCCACACTTCTCTTGTACCGCAGTTACTAAGTTTTACTCAAATGCAAAGCATTACTATAACTTTTTTAAACAATTTTCGGTTCTTTCTTGAATTCAGAAAAATTTGAGAAATTTGATTAATACCATTAGAAAATATGGTTAACGGGTAACCTTAGTCTTTAAGCATACAATCAGATAACGCAATTAATAGTAAAGTATGAAAGAGTTAGATATTAAATACGTAGAGGAATTAGTCCTTAATTTCTTGTTAAAGGATTTTTGAGTAACAAAAACGAAAGTGTCAATTTATTCCTAGAGCTGAGATGGTGACTCCAAATTCCTGCAACTTCAAAACTCCTACATATATTTAAATATATTATGTCTTTATCTTATAATGCACAAAACTAATGTTTGTTTAAAAAAAGAAGGCAGGTGTTGCAGATGCTCTACACGCTTCGGATTACAAAGGAAATCGATGTTGAGTTGCACAAGGGCAAAATATTTATTTAGTTTTATCGTTTGCAATATTTTGTATGTAAGAAATAAATTGAAAAATCTTGTTTCAAGTGATTTGGTTGTATTTTATAATATAATATATTGTAATGTTGTTTCTGATAGAAAATCTTACTATACACACACTCAAAATTTTTCTAAAATTGAGTCTACTATTTATTGATAATTGAAAGGCTTTAAATAGTCGTGATACTTACAATATTGCGGAAATAAAAATAAAATATGGAAATAAAATATCAACTATCTTAAAAAAAAGATAAACAGAAAATCATAACTACCTATTCCTATTTTATCTCTATAAAAACAAACTAAATATTACTATACCCAAAATTAATAAAATAAGATTTAAACAAAATTATTAATAAAATCCTAAAATTTAAATTTATCCCAACAAACTCTCTCATAAACTTAAATTATTTCTTCCTTCATTCAGCTTTCCATATGTATCATCTCACACCGGGTTTGTTTCTTTCAATCAAATTTGACTTCTTCTTTTTCCTTATGGCCCTTTTGTCTTTTACCTTGGTTGACCACTTTAATGCTTTGACTGATTTTATTATGCCCGACTTCTCAATAACCTTGACCAACTCGTTTATCACCTTAGGCAATTTCTCAACCATCTTTGCCGACTTCTTCATTGAGTACATCTTCATCTTCCTCTTCGTTTGGTTCAAGAACACTAGACGTTTTCTCTTCTTTTTCAAGAGCCATCTTCTTCAACTCCTCAAGCTCAACCCTCCGTTTATTCATAATTTCCTTAGCCTCATCTAGAAGTCTCCCTATTCGCTGAATCTCTTCATCTTTTTGTTTGAGTTCTTTCTCAAAGCTTTCCTTCTTCACAATTGTTGCATCCTTTACCGAGATCACTTCATCCATTGTTGAGATTGGGCTCTCCATGTCCACTACATATGAGCTCTTTGCCATCAACAAGATTTCACACTCACTAGTGCAATTAAGATTAACGGCCTCGATTATTTTCACGTATAGACATCGGTTCTACGACCGAGACATATACAGACGAGGTAAAAAGGGTAGGTTTTTTGACTCAGTTATATATGGACCGAATCAAAAGGGTTCAGATTCTGCCTCTGCTCACAGACAACCGAGGTAGTAGAGTTTTTTAATTTTTTTATTTTTTTATTTTCAACCGAGATCAGTGTTGGTTTCTTGTTCGGTTATGTTTTCCTATTCTCTTTGTGCCTTAAACTTCTTTGTCTTTTTAATCTCAAGCTTATCTGCAATTTTTTTCATCCATGTTTTTGGGGGCAAAATTACTTTGACAAACTCAGATGATTGCTCCAATCAAAGAAGGGGGAAATAGGAAGCGGGGAGAGAGCAAACAGAGGAGACGACAATGGAGGTGGAAGAGAGGAGGAGGAGGCGTTATTCCTTGATGGAGAAAGCAATCAAAAGCTTTAGAGAAACAGTATCCAAACGAAAAACCAAAAATCAAAGAAACAATATCCAAACCAAAAACCAAAATCAGAGATAAAAACCAAAAACCAAAATCAGATATCCATTTCACCATCCACCTGTAGAGAAACAGAACCAAAAACCAAAATCCAAAAACGCAGATTCAGCGCCTAACTGCCACCATGCCGTCGCCGCATCCTCGCCGTCGTCGCCTCCTCGCTGCTCCACGAGAAAAGGGTTTCCACCATCGCAGCCGCCATCGCAGGCTCTCGTCGCACCATCGCGGGCTGTCTCACTACACCGTCGCGGGCTCTCGCCGCACCGTCGCGGACTCTCTCGCCACACCGTTGCGAGTTGTCTCGCCTCGCCGCACCGTTGCGAGTTGTCTTGCCTCGTCGCACCGTCGCGAGTTGTCTCGCCTCGTTGCATCGTCCCTAGCTGTCTCGCCTCGCCGCACCGTCACGAGCTGCCTTGCCTTGCCGCATCGTCGCGAGCTGCCTCACCTCGCCGCACCGTCACGAGCTCTCTCTTCGTCATGGCAAAGGGAGAAAAGGTTGGTGAGGGAATGGTGGAGTTGAGGGAGAGGGAAGTGGAGAATGTAAGGGGTTGCAGGAGAGGAGGGAGGGGATGAGGGAAGAGTGAAATGTACTAGAATAAGGGAAATGAAACATGTAGGTTACTTTTTCTTAATACTACCTCAATTCTACTCTCCACGAGGCCTATAGTCCCAAAAAAAATTTTAAAAAAATATGAAATGGCTATACGCACCGGTTCTGAATGAACCGAAGCCATAGGCTCTGCGCAGATTTCAAATTTCAGACCTGTCAAGCAGAAAGGTATACTTTTAGGCATCGATTTTGCTATCAATCAAGATAATATTACTTATATGTTTCGGGTCCTCTTGACCGAGGCATATAAGTTTTCGTAAACTACAAAAATGTCACCGCATTTTCATAGACTTCGGTTTTTCCTAAACCGAAGCCTATAGGGCGTGTTAAAAAGCAATTTTTTTACTAGTGACTTTTCTTCATCTTCTTCTTTTGTAAGAAGGCTTCTCTCACTTTTCTTCTCAACTCGAAAAAATTTAGCAATGTGACCGGACTTACAACAATTGTAGCACTTTTTTTTTATCTAAACTCGTTTGCATAGTGTCCATACTTGACACACTTAAAACAATCCACTCTTGACCGATCACCTCGGCCTTTTCCTTGTCCTCGTCACGCCAATTCTGCTGACCGGTTTGCTCTTCATTATCATTCTCAAAATTACCTCGCCCTCGGCTTCCTCTCCATCTGCCGCAAGGACCTCAACTTTGAGTAATCTAAGATTTATTCAAGTCAAATTGTACCTGTGGTGCTTGATTGTTGGGTTCCCTCTTTTTCTTTTTCTTCCTCAATTCGTGGGCTTTTAATATCCCAGCTAACTCCTCCATGGTGAGAATTGACAAATCCGTTTTCTCTTCAATAGTGACCACGATACTTTCAAAATCATCTGTCAAATTTCTCAAGATCTTTTCCGCAACCCGGTTAGGAGGAACATTTTCTCCGTTCATTCCGAGTTGGTTGGCCATTTACTGCACTCGAGTTATAAACTCGACAACTCCCTCATTTTCATCCATCTCTATATGATCAAAACCTCTTCTAAGAGCTTGTACTCGGACCTGCTTCACGCAAGTATCTCCTTTGTATGCCACCTTCAGAATTTTCCATGCTTCTTTTGTTGACTTTGCATTAGCGATTTTCTCGAATCCAGATTCATCCATTACATTATACAAAAAGTACAAAGCCGATTTGTCTTTCACTCGTGTCTTTTTCAATGCAGTAATTTGGTTCACTGTCTAATGCTCATCATCTGTGGGTTGATTATACTCGTCCTCCACTATGTCCCATACATCTTGGGATCCAAGAAGAACCTTCGTCTGTAAAGACCAATTGTCGTAATTGGTCTTTTCCGACATTTGTGGCACACTCATCCCATTACCTTTGCCATCTCTCTCACAAAAAAAATCAAGCGCTCACTTTTTCTCTCACGGCGTTTGACTCTCTCCTCTCTCTCTTTTTCTCTCTCCCTCGGTACTCAGAGCATAAAGCTTTGATACCACTGTTAAGAAAATCTCACGATACAAACACTCAAATATTTTCCTAAAATTGAGTCTTCTATTTATTGATAATTGAAGGGTTTTAAATAGCTCTGATACTTACAATATTACGAAAATAAAAAATAAAATCTGAAAATAAAATATCAACTATATTAAAAATAAAATCTGCTTAATCTATTATAAAATAATATTGTACCTAGATAAACAAAAAATCATAACTACCTATCCTATTTTATCTCTATCAAAACAAACTAAATATTACTAGACCCAAAACTAATAAAATAAGATTTAAAAAAATTATTAATAAAACCCTAAAATTTAAGTTTATCCCAACAAACCATTGTTAGGTACTAACAAAGTCCTAGATAAAACAAGAGATGAACATGACTTTATATACACATAATATACCTCCATTAGTAAGAGACATTTTGGAGTGTACCAAAAGCAAATTCGTGAGGACTAGCCCAAAGCGGACAATATCTTACCAGTGGAAACTTATGTGTGTGTTGAACCTCCCTACAATTAGTATCAGAGCCCATGATTCAGGTCTAGTGACCAGGCTCAAGACGAGTACGCCCCTCCATGATAAGATGAAGCTTTGGCAGGTGATCAGTGGTAGATAGCCAGATGTATCATGAGAGGCAGAGAGCAAGAGACTATAAGGGAGGTGGAGGTGGAGAACCATACTCCTTTCTTTAATTATTGCTTATATAGCATCATCCCATGTTTTGCGTTAGACCACTGATGTTATACACTTCTCCGTTAAAATTTCGGAGCATATCATTGAAATTGGCATCAAACTGTGATGATGGTATTCTCACAATTTTCATGAAAGTACCCCTTCAGTTTTGTCTCTTTGTAAAGGTTACACCTAATTCCTTTCCAATATCCCTAAGTCTACTATAGCCTCTACCTTCCATCCTTTAACCT